CTCACAGCCAGGCACTGCTGTTTTTCTCACAGCCAGGCACTGTTGTTGTTCTCACAGACAGGCACTACTGTTGTTCTCACAGCTAGGCACTGTTGTTGTTCTCACAGCCAGGCACTGCTGTTGTTCTCACAGCCAGGCACTGCTGTTTTTCTCACAGCCAGGCACTGCTGTTTTTCTCACAGCCAGGCACTGTTGTTGTTCTCACAGCCAGGCACTGCTGTTGTTCTCACAGCCAGGCACTGCTGTTGTTCTCACAGCCAGGCACTGTTGTTGTTCTCACAGCCAGGCACTGTTGTTTTTCTCACAGCCAGGCACTGTTGTTGTTCTCACAGCCAGGCACTGTTGTTGTTCTCACAGCCAGGCACTGTTGTTGTTATCACAGCCAGGCACTGCTGTTTTTCTCATAGCCAGGCACTGCTGTTGTTCTCACAGCCAGGCACTGTTGTTGTTCTCACAGCCAGGCACTGTTGTTGTTTTCACAGCCAGGCACTGCTGTTGTTCTCACAGCCAGGCACTGCTGTTGTTCTCACAGCCAGGCACTGCTGTTGTTCTCACAGCCAGGCGCTGCTGTTGTTCTCACAGCCAGGCACTGCTGTTGTTCTCACAGCCAGGCACTGCTGTTATTCTCACAGCCAGGCACTGCTGTTGTTCTCACAGCCAGGCGCTGCTGTTGTTCTCACAGCCAGGCACTGCTGTTGTTCTCACAGCCAGGCACTGTTGTTGTTCTCACAACTAGGCACTTGTGTTGCCCTCACATCCGGGTACTGATGTTACTCTCAGACACAAGTATTGGTGTTGCTCGCTCATCTAATCACTGATGTTTCTCTTACCATAATGGCGTACACTACTAGTGTAACATCCTACGGTTGTAGCCGTCTTATAGACTCAAGGCTTAAGTTACCTCACCCTTATAGATACAAAGAATCCTTTATAGACTCAGTGAGCTAAGTACTCTCACACTTTATAGGCTCACGGCTTAAGTAATTTTATTGTTTGAAGGCCAGAGGCTTGAATTCATCTTCCATTTATTAATTCAAGACAGAAGATCGTTCCATAGTACCGAGACACCACTACTGAATTGGTCAGCTTATTACTAAGACCTTGGTAAGGTGGTTTCACTTATTATAAAAAAAAATCCTTCTTTCTCCTTCCTTACGCTACTAGAGTGCTTCCTCAGTTTGTGTAAACTAAATATATTTCCCATGCACAGACTGTGAAAGTGTGTTTCTGCGTACATAAGATCCTTGAGCTGTGGTGTTATATCCAAACACGTTCTAAAGACATTATTTTCTTACATACGGCTGCTGAGGTTAGATTATGTTAAGTTAGGTTTGGTTTGGTCGGGTTAGATTGTCGTCTATAAGCGCACACAAGGGTTGGCATCGATCTACTTTGGTAACCCAAATAAGTAAACTTAATTTAAAAAAAAAATCACAGCATCCGAACCCCCACCATCTCTTTATTTTGGAGATTTATCTCATTCTTGAAGGAACCATCGGCTGGCACACCTAAATACCCAGTGTTTTTAACTGACCTGTGAACCAATGACATGTGTCCAGGGAACATTTGCAATAAAATATTATTATTATTAAAGATTAGCCGGTATTCTCCCGGCCCGGGCCTTTTCCAAGTGGTGGCCCGGCCTTGGCTCCCTCTTTAGGGAGTGTCTGAGACCTAAGTCTCCCATGGGAGGAGGCACAAGTACCTCCTCATCTTTGGGACCAACTGTCCCCAGGCCTAGCCACAAGCTAGGCCTCTCTGGTCTGCCATCCCCGCCCCAAGGGAGGCTAATGGGAATGACAGTCTTGTGAGCTAAAGGCTCGGGCTCAGGCACCTACCCTACCCTAGAAGGGTTAGGCATGGTGTCGATCACAATAAAAGAAAGATGAACTTCATAGTTAACACAAACTGTCATTCGAAATCAAGGAATTAATGATAATATGGTAAATTATAAGGAATGATCACCCACAGAGCTAAATAATTTCTTGACCACCCAATAAAATATTTGAAAAATATTTACAAATGCAAAAAATAAATTACAGATATGAATAGATTGAACAAAAAATCCGACAGGAGGAGCACACGTGACACAAAAGAAAAGTTTCTGGTCTGATGTTTGTAAAATTTTCAGAGTGATGTACCAGGTCAGTAAACCAGGTTCTGCAAACTTCACCAGAATTCACAAGTTATTTTTTAAGCTCAATCGTCATTTTAGTGCAGTGAAATTTTCCCAAAGTCAATATTTCTCTTAGTTCGTAACACTGTTTTATAGCAGGAAAGTCCATCAAGCCAGATTAGCTGGGTTTTAATGGCTACATAAGCTGCTGGCAGCAACAACATTGTTGATCAGGCTGTTTTTGCCATCTTCAAGAAATGAGCTGCTCTTTAAGCTTGTCACAAGTATAACACTGGTACACTCTTCCCTCCCTCCTCCACTCGTCAATAGTAAGTTTAAATCTCTTCGACCGAGCATCCAGGGTGTAGGGAGGGAGAAAGAGAGGTGGAGTAACCGACGCAGAAGATGGTCTGAACAGAGGTGGAGTGAACGACCCAGGAGATGGTCTGAACAGAGGTGGAGTAACTGACCCAGGAGATGGACTGAACAGAAGTGGAATAACCGACCCAGGAGATGGTCTGAACAGAGGTGGAGTAACTGACCCAGGAGATGGACTGAACAGAAGTGGAGTAACCGACCCAGGAGATGGTCTGAACAGAGGTGGAGTAACTGACCCAGGAGATGGACTGAGCAGAAGTGGAGTAACCGACCCAGGAGATGGACTAAACAGAGGTGGACTAACTGACCCAGGAGATGGACTGAACAGAAGTGGAGTAACCGACCCAGGAGATGGTCTGAACAGAGGTGGAGTAACTGACCCAGGAGATGGGCTGAGCTGAAGTGGAGTAACCGACCCATGAGATGGACTAAACAGAGGTGGAGTAACTGACCCAGGAGATGGTGTGAACAGAGGTGGAGTAACTGACCCAGGAGATGGTCTGAACAGAGGTGGAGTAACTGACCCAGGAGATGGACTGAGCAGAAGTGGAGTAACCGACCCAGGAGATGGACTAAACAGAGGTGGACTAACTGACCCAGGAGATGGACTGAACAGAAGTGGAGTAACCGACCCAGGAGATGGTCTGAACAGAGGTGGAGTAACTGACCCAGGAGATGGGCTGAGCTGAAGTGGAGTAACCGACCCATGAGATGGACTAAACAGAGGTGGAGTAACTGACCCAGGAGATGGTGTGAACAGAGGTGGAGTAACTGACCCAGGAGATGGTCTGAACAGAAGTGGAGTAACTGACCCAGGAGATGGTCTGAACAGAGGTGGAGCAACTGACC